TTTTCTATTAATATACATATGTCCATTCTATTTTAATATTTACTTAACTTATCTATTTTTTCTTTTCTTTATTAGTATTTAGTCTCTTTATTTTTGGTTCGTGTTAATTGCCACATGCAGAAAAGTATGCAAAATAAATACAAAAATAGCTTTAAGTAATACCCTGTCTGTGTTTGATTTGCGTGGGCATTTTATGTATTTACTCAAGCGTCTATCCAATTGCCGCAACCGACCTAAAATTCCTAATAAAAAAAGGGTCAGACTGTTTGTTGAGTAACCCTTAAATAATATTTTCCCTGAAAAATATTTCATTTTCTTTTTGCATTATTTTGGTTTGGGTTTGTCGCTTCTAAAAATTTAATTTCGTAATTGAACGATCAGATACACTCAGTCCCTTCCTCTCTTGAGTGTGTGTGTGTGCGCTCTTTCACCTCGCTTGTCCCTTTCTACTGCCCACTTGACTTTGCGCCGGTGTAGCAAGCAGCAATTTAATTGAAAATTTATCAGTTTCACATTTCATTTGCATATGCGCCCATTTCACTTCCCTCCCACTCACTCGCTAGGCATTGAGGCTAGGCTAGAGTATACTCGAGGCTTTTCCAATTTGCATCGTTGACATTTTTAGTACATCTGAATGGGATATCTGGTCGTGTGACCCTCATGGGCGCCAGCAATTTCCACAAATGTGCACCTCACAAATATTTTGTGGGTCCTGCCTTTAGCCCAGAAATTGTTATTATTTTCCAGCTTCTCCTCCACGTAGAGCCCAGCTGCTCTATTTGCATTTACTCTATACTCATTTGGAGCATAGTTTTTGGGAGGCCCAGCTTGCATACCCTGTAAAGTAAAAGGTAAACATAGCTGAGAAATTTATTTAGTCTGCTCTAGGCAAAGGAAAATTCTTGATTTGATCTTTTCCAATTAGTTGTGATCTATAAATTTCCTTAAAAATCAACTGAACTCTTGGTAAATTCAAAGTGAAATAAATACGTGGTATTAGGCAGCTCATCCTTTCGGATAATGCATATTAACTTTGATATTTCTGGGTGGCAAACTGAAAGGTATAGTTAAATACTTCAGAAATTTGAAGGCCTTTCTCTTTGGACTCGCATCACTCTAATTAAGCGATAACTGGGCAGGAATGAGCGCAGAGCAGTTGCTAATTTCTTGATTGTGCAGTGTCCATACGATATGGCTGTGTTGCTTGTATCCGCTTATTGAGTTTGTTCGCCTGG